ATTGTCTGCTCACATCCAACATTTTGTCCACCAGTATTCCCAAGTCCCCTTCTGAAGGGTTGCTCTCTAGCTTGTACAGGTCCCAGAACAGACCACTGAGGGACATCACTTGTCATTCATCTCCATCTGGACATCCAGCCTTGACCACTACCCTCTGGATGAGACCATCCAGACAATTTCTTTTCCATCAAACAGTCCCATCTGTCAAATCCGTATCTTTCTAACTTAGAGAGAAAGATGTTGTGGGAGACAGTCAAAGGCCTTGCAGAAGTTCAAATAGATCACACAGAATCACAAAATCAAAGAATCTTAAGAATTGGAAGAGACCTCAAAATTACATCCATAGGTCTTTTCTCATCCTCTGATGTAATCACCCCTTTGCAGATAGCTACTATGTCAGTCAAGCGGGACTTTCCCTTAGTAAAGCCGTGCTGGCTATCTCAAATCACCTCCCTGTCCTCCATGTGCCTTGTCAGAGCTTCGAGGCAGAGCTGTTTCATGATCTTCTTAGGCAAAAAGGTGAAGCTGACAGGTCAGTAGTTTCCAGAGGTCTCCTTTCTAACCTTTTAAAGAATAGGTGCAACGTTTCCCCTTTTCCCATCACGGTGAACTTCACCTGATTGCCATGACCTTTCAAATATCATGGAGAGTGGCTTGGCAACTACATCAACGAATTTCCTCCAGATTCTCAGTCTGGGGATTGAGATCTCTTGTGCTCTATAGAAAATATCCTTAAAGATCTGCAAATTCTGTTCTTCTCTCTTGTCCTGGAGGACTGTTTCCTAGAGGGTCCTGCTGATTAACTTCTTGAAGAGCTGAAAGTCTGCCTTCCTAAAAATCAGAGTCATGAATACACTCTTCGTCTAACATATCTCTTAGGACTGTGAACTCCACCTGTGTGTGATTGCTGCATCCCAGGCTGCTGCCAATCTTGACATCCCTGATCAGCTCAACTGCATTGGTGATTAACAGATCCAGTATCACATGCCCTTGGGTAGGGCAGTCTATTTCCTGGCTTAAGAAGTTATCCTCAAGGCACTCTAGGAGTCTCCTAGATTACCTGCAGCTTGCCATGTGACTTTTCCAGCAAATGTTGAGGTGGTTCAAATCCCCCAGCAGGACAACAGCCTGTGAGTGCAATGCGTCCTGAAGCTGGAGTAAGAAGGTTTCATCAGCAGGCTCCCCTTGATAAGGCAGTCTGTAGTAGACACCAACCACAAGGTTCCCCTTGTTGCTTTGGTCTCTAATTTTTATCCATAAGCTTTTTACTTGCTCTCGGTTATTGTTTACAGACATCTTCTTACACTTGATCCATTATTATATTGTCTGAAGACATCTTATCTTCTCTTCTCCAATAAGATTTGTATTATTCTTTCTTTTTTATTAAGAGAACAACACACTCCTATCAAAAACTCTGAATGTCAGTGTACTTTCAATATATTTGCAGGATACATTTCACATACGTAGTTTCATGCATGTGTAACTTCAGTATTAGGTCTGCCATTATAATATAAGTAGATCTATGGTGTCCATGACTTTAAAATTGGAGATTCAAACTTGTCAGCATTTGAAATAAAGAATGCATACATTATGTGCATCAAATAGCACAAGATGTTCATAAAACAGAGTTTTAGCATCTCTCCTATCTCACAAACTCAGCAAAGGATCATTCTCTTGATCATTAAATCAAATCTCATTTGATTTAATTTATAGAACATCTATATTATCGTTTGCAAAAAAAGCCTGTTTACGATAAAGACCATTGAGGCATTTCTTTGAATGACTGCCTAGGCCCACATGTATTTTCAAATCTGAAGAAAAGTTTCAATAAAAACTTTTCAGAGATTTGCTACCTACTGAAATAATACTTTCTTTTTCTTTTATTTATTATTTGGAGAGCCAAATCAAGAAGAAATTTCATGTAACTGGCGCATATCTCTATGACTGATTAACTCTAATCTCTGGATTTCTCCTTGCCTCTGCTAGACAGAAGGAAGTACAATAATGCTGCTTTAATTCAGTTGCACTCTCTGCTTAACACACTGAATCCTGAATCTTGTTATGTTGATAAACAGATACCTATGATTCCTTAGGAAAATAATTAACAGTTTGATTTCTTACTAGGTAATGTTAATAATACACAAAGGTAGATCTTCATCTTCTATAGAATACTATAAATGCATACATTTATAATGTCTGGCTCATGGATTTCTTGCAGCAGGGGTGGGGTTTATTCAAGTTTCTAGATGAAAGTTATCATATTCCAGGAAAGAAATGTAGAAAGGGCAAATTCCAGTCCTAGTTAAACACTTAAGTGGAAGAATAACATACAGAAAATAGAAAAAAGTAAGTTAATTAATTTTTTAATGATGGATGCACAACTGTGAGACACCTGCCATTACCACACAAGGCAATGCTAAAGAATACAGAGAGTTATTTTTTATAAGTCCTATTTTGTTAAACACATTATGAGTTTATGAACCTATTGTAACTTCCCATATGTTCTGGAAAGTCTGAGACAAAATGGGAATTCTTACTCATATTTTTAAAATTATTTTATTCTAACTAAAAAGTATGTTTGACAGACAAATTTCAAGTGTCTTAGAAGAAATTTTCTCACTCCTTGTAGATCTGGGATTTATAGATGGAATTTTTTCTTAGCAATGATTCACACAAACATCATCATTTAGTAACACAGCCTAGAGACATGTTGGAGACTGTATGTCAGAAAGTTACGCAATTCCTTTGTTTCAATTAGTTATGTTTCTATTAACACAGGAAAGATATAAACTATCAATTTAAGTTTAGACTTTTACTTTGACATTTGCAATACTTATTTCTCAGTTCCTAAATTGAAGTTTAGTGCCTTTTTCAAAGTCAACAAACAGTCCCTTCCACCCCCTATTAATTCTATACATTTGTCACTCCAAGTTTTTCACTTTACAGAGAAAGCATAAGACAGGCACCTAAAGCATGAATCACTTCCTATGAAGAACTGACAAAAAGTTTTACCACAACATCAGTATAAATGTAATATAAAATTAGTAGCACTATGAGTCAATATTTGTTCTGTTTAGTCACATAATATTATAAAGATGTTGCAAAGACCTACAGTACTACCCAGGCAGTTTAATAACTTGGAGGTTGTCCTGACATCTGTCAGGGTTTGCAGAGGTGGAAACTGAATAATTTGCTCCATATGCATTCGTTCATTTTTAACACATCAAAACCAGCCAAGTTTCTTTCTATATCTATGCAGTTAAACATTAAATACCAAACTCCTACCTACACCACCAGTGATGAATTACATTTTTTAAACTACTACTGCAAATGGCAACATAAGCCTGGCTCCAATGTTTTGGTGTTTTTTCTTTCTCCTTTCTGTCAGTCTGACTCTGAAATACTGCGGCGCAGTGAAGCACCAACCACAGAGACAGGAGAGACAGGATCACCTGAGGACTGAGGGAATATGTACTCTTCAAATCCTTCTATCTTATATTGCAAAGATAATTGACAACCTCCTTCTGGTCGAAATTAAATTCTGGAAGACTCTGTCTCTGCTTTCTTCATATGAGAGTCAATCAAGCAGAGTATATGGTTGTTTGCTGTGAAGTTAATCACTAGACAGTAATTGCCTCTCCATATTGACCATATAAATCAATTCCATACAAAATATAAACTATTATGTGATCCTGGATATTGACCTTATATAAATATGACTGATTACTTAAATTCTCTCAAACCAACATAAACAATATGATTGTCAGACTAATCTATTGGAAGAAAATTACAACCATAATTCACTATAATTTCTGATAATGTGGAGGAAAAATGGGATACATCAAAAGAGAAAACAAGTTTTCAACCCAAAAGGGAACTGTTACACTTCAACTTAATGCACAAGATAAGTGTTCTTACTAATTGTTGGAGGGCAATATATTTATATATTAGATACTAAAAAGGAATAAGAGAAGGACACATAACCCTTCCTAAAGATTTGTTTCTTCAGTTACTTGGCACGTCAAAGGTTCAAGAGCTTGTGTATGCAAACATCTTTGTCAACCAGATTAATGCAGTTCACCTTGTTTGCCTGGAATATTCTGTTTCTGCTTTCTTTTAGGGAACATGCTGTGGAACTGTACTGCACTACATAGTGATGTTCTCCTGTCTTCCAATGTCATTCTTTAAATCTAAAGGATAATTTTCTACCTTAGGTTTATGTTCAGCTAAATTCTTTACATGTTTGTACAACAGAGGTTAGAGGTTTGGTGAAGAGTTGTTCTGCAGTGGACATTACTCATCTATGACAGATTTTATATATTGAAATGGTGGGTTTCAAATATATCTGTTCAATCACTGTTTGCTAAATTATAGAGTTTATTTATGTTACATAATCAATCTGTGGAACTTGATACTTCAAAAATGTTTTGAATAAATTCATTTAAAAAAAAAATCAGACTAGTGGCAAATACGTTAATTGGTAATCGTGGCACATGACAGTTGAGATCAGGAAGTTCTTGAACTATAAACTACAGAAACCTGGGAGAGAACACCAGAGGAAGCATGCTTCTGTGCTTCAGCCATGCATTACCCATCACATATGAATCACCCATTTGCAGTGGTGTCACTGTGCTAGAGCTACTGCTTTGTGTTGTAGCTATAGCTGTTCTTATGTTCCAAGGCACTTAACCAAGGCTCTTCTTTTCTGTTGGAGGTAGTGCTTGCTGAAGATACCTGTTTCTTGTCCACATTTGCCATTCAAAACAGAGACCTACCCACAAGCTTTTGCCTTAGATAAAATCTCAGACTTGTTAAAAATGTTACATATATTGCTCTGGAGAATTCAGGATAGAGTTGGTGTATCAGCTGTTCATATCTAGGCACACAACAAAGTTTTGTGCAAAAGTGTTTTATGTAAGTATAATAAATCCCATATGCACAAATCATAATATTGAGTACTTTTTTTCTAAATATAAGAGATAGCAAAAGGCTGTAATTACCTGTAACTGTTAATTCCGTAGTTCTTCTGACAACAAAGAATCCATATTTTAACTCACAAGTGTAATTTCCAATGTCATCCTCTCTAACTTCCCGAATGACAAGAGTGTCCTTTTTAAAAACAATACTTGATCTCCACGTCTTTGATTTGCATTCCTGTTTAAAGATAATATAACACTTCAGAGACTATGTTTTTACATTTCAATTGGAACACTGTTGATAATGCTTCTCAAAGCCAAGACAGCTAGGCAAGAGCTCAGTCTAGTTAGGAGCTTTATGTACACTAAATATCTAAATATCCAGTTCAATTAAGTTGATTAAAAAGAAAAAAAAGCTATAGGATTTTATCAGCTGACTTAATATTTGCCCTCTGACGAGAAAAAGGAGTTGATTCCTGTGGGAGTTCTCTTTCAACGTTAATTTGTGCAGGAGCTCCTATTTCATTGACTTATTCACCATTACAGTTTTATCTGTGACCCATGACTGCTATATTACCAGTAGCTATATCAGCTGTTAATCTATATTTAATAATTTTAATTTTTACTAAAATTATAATTTAAAAAAATCAGAGAAACAGAAGAAGATGAGAATGAGAAGTGAGGTTAAGTTCTACAGCTCTTTATAAAAACATCCTAAAACCAAAGCTCTCTAAAACCTTAGCAAAAGGTGAGGTTTGTAACTATGAAAATTCTATAGTATTTCAATCCTTACTACCTAAACATTACTTTTTATGCTACAATAGAGAATATACATTTTGAATGCAATTTCTTAACCCCCTGAAAAGATCAAGTTACTTTCACCTAATTATCCTAGGTAGCACTTGAAATCACTTTTAATATTTTTAGTATTTCTAGGTTTTCAATCTTTTTGGTATTGCAAAACAGTATATTTATAAGCCATTAGAAAATGGAGTAGGTTCTTTTCATAAGAAAAATATCTTTTGATGAACTGTCACAAAATATTTTCCTTGATTATCTTAGCATACTAATTGTTTATACAGTAAGGTCTTTTAAAAAACTATCAAGTGTAAGAAGTTGTATGAGCTCATTCACACAAATATTGTCAATGACTCCTAAGAAGCCAATCTTTTGAGCCACATTTGATAAAATTTCAGGTATATATTATATTGCAAACAGAAATTCAAAATTAAGTAAATAATTGGTTACTTATGTCCCATCTTAGACACGCCGTTAGTTAAATTGACCAGAAACCTTCTAGGCCGTAAGTTTAATTTACTTATTAGATGGCTTAGTCTTGTGTGTACCATATTTAAATGCATTTATGTACAAGAAAATTATCAGAGTGAAAAAAAAATAAAAATAATTAAAATGCATACCAGCACACAGTTAAACTCAGAATTCCTATATTCACAAACATGTCTGTGTAGATAAAATACACAGAATACAAATTTCAGATTTACTGAACTGTTTGGGGATTTCAGGTGGTATGCATTACAGTACTGAAGTACTGAGTATTTCCTGCAGACAGTAAGAAACCCAAATCTCAAGCTGCTTTCTATGGAAGCTATAGTGAACTGCCCACAGGCAGCATTATTTTTAAGAGTTTGGCCCTCAATTAATGACATAGATATCAGCACACAATATTGAAATAAAGTTATTGATAAAAACAATTAAATCACTGATATTTTCACGTAAAATCTAATATGTAAAGACCAAACCTTTGCTGAATTTTATGCTACAAAATTAAGCCATTCATTCAGGTAACAGCATGCACAGCTATCCTATTTATATTTTTCCAGATAGATTTTATGCCTGAGTTTTTAGAAACAAATGGTAACACCCATGAATGGATATTAAGAAAGCAATAGCTCTAAAGTTTACTACAGGGAGTGTTTTAATCTCTCACCTATTCCATTCTATTCTGTTCTTGATTCTGTTGTCTTTTCTTGACAAATCTTAAAACAATCTAAGCTTGATATCATATATGGAATGTGAAAATCATCAGAGCATTGCATAATATGTTTTTGAAAATGAAAATATTTTGCATTCCTTACCTTATACCACAGAATTTCAGGCTCCCTAAATGGAAATAAAAAATCCTCAATTTCAGGGCATGAGATTTCCTTGCTTTTGCTAAGTTCAGCTTTTTCAAAATATTTCATCTTTGAATTGTAGCAGAGTCCAGTGTCATTTTCACCCACCATCAGCGAAATGGACACTTTCATACAGTAAGTTGAGTTTCTGCAATACAATAAAAAAATTACATAGAAGTCTAATATATATATATATATATACATTCAATGTACATGACATAGTTTTTTTAAGTAATTATTTTCATCCTAAGCAAAAGATCAGACATTCTGGGCTTTTGTATTGTATAGCATTTTTTAATGATAATTTTACTTTTCTTAGCAATTAACTATAATATTTAGAAGGTGTTTGCCTTAGTCTGTGACTAAAGATCTATCTTCCTCTTCTGTCAAATTCCTTCTAACTTCACTGTCCTTACTGTGTATTTAAGAACAACTTCCTCAAAAGCAAATATGTAATATAAGTTCCATATATTTACCAGTGAAACTAGACAACCAACTGGCTGACAGATACCATTGAGACAGCTCTCAGGGTGAACAGGGGTGAACAGATCATGCTGTAGTACCAAAGGCAAATGCCACATTTGAATTTGGGCACCATATCGAGAGCCACCTAATCAATCACATCTAACTGTGTTTTGAAGAGGAAGTGGTAACCTTTTTTGCAGCCTTTAATGAATGAGTCTTGTGACTCTTCCAATACAGAATGAAGGATGGACCCCTGACTTGTTACCTTAGCCTTCATTACCTATACTCCCAAGCCAAAATTTTGCTTCTGCATTACCTACAGTCTTTATTAGTTTGGGCTCTCTCTGGAAACTTCTTAATGTCTCTATTTCTGGGTGTTGATATGCCAGGCAGCCAGACTCAGCAAGATTGTCTTCCTCTCCACAGTTCACTATGTACTTTAATTAGGCTCAAAGACAAAATTACTTGAAATGATATATCTTTTTTTTTTTTTTTTTCATTTGAGTTTCCACGTGGGCAGCAAATGAATGTGTAAAGTTGAGTAGTCCCCAGGAACACACTGTGACAATGCAAGACTTCTCTCCTACTGTTTTGTAAATGCATTTGACCCCAATCTGCTGAAAGAGGATCCTGCAGAGAGCACTGAGGAAACACTCATTCTCTTATTTCCATTCTCAGACTCTATGCACTGATTGCTGATTTACATCAGTCATATGTGTATCAGACATAGCAGAATCTCAAAGATGGCTACATTTTCCTGTTCTTTTTAGATTTCTTAATATCTTTTTCCTCTTACTGTTCAAGAAGAGGGGATATAAATGCTTAAGAACAAAGAATAAAAGAAACTTTATTCAAAGAACTCTATAGTTCAGTTTCCTAGAGAATATGTAAAACCTGAAAAGAAAGATATCTAACTACTTATCCAATCAGTGAATATTCTTTAAAGTGTAAATTCTGAAATGAAATTACGCTTATTATTATCCAGCTAATCCATGGACTTGAAAGAAAAACATACACAAAAGTACCTCCTTATAATGAGAACATAATTCATTAGCCCACTTAAGAATCTGGCTGTATAAAGCAAATAAAGTTGTATAAATTTTATGCAAAGCAAAAAATTTATCCATTGAATATAGATGACTTCCTGCTTTTAAGCTGTTCTTACCTGTACATGCAATTTAAAAGAATTCAGTATTTTAAATAACTCATTTTCATTACTGTATATTTTATTCTTCCTCCATTAAGGTGCTACTTAGAATATTCCTTATTTTTTTTATTATTATTTCCTTGAGAATATCATAAAAATTTACCTGTCAGTTTTTTCCAAATTGGTAATATTCTCTTTCTGTGTTTTTGAGATACCTACCCCTTGGAAACAGGGAGAAGGCCTAAATGATTCATTAAGTTCTGAATGACAAGAGTATATTAGATGACATCCATTATTGGATGACCAGGAGCAACACACAGGGAGAAACTAGCTATTAAACTTGCACAATTAAATATTGTCTTTTATTCCTTTCCATTTGTTTAAACATTATGTTTTGTTCATGTCACTTAATCTTGTCATTTTTAAATTTATAGAAGAAACTTGAAGTGGAAAAAAAAAACACACCAAAAAACAATTTAACTGTGATCCCATTTTCTGAAGAGGCAAGCTAAGAAAATTGTCATATATGTTCTTTCTTCTTCCCTCAGTTTGCAGAGCGATTTGGGCAAAAACCTGATTTATATTTTTGTCTACTAAGAGCTCAGTTCTGCAACAGTGGCAATGTCAATTGCCAAAGCTGGAATTCCTTCTGAGGCACATCCAAGTTTCCATCGCAACAGCAGATCCTTTACCAGATGCAGCTTAGGCTTCCTGCTCTGTAAGGAGAGATCTATTTTGGAAATATTTTAGATTGTTTAAATCCAGTTTGAAGAAAAAGTTGTTATTTGATGACTCAAAGTTCTGTGTGTCTGTGATTTGAGTTACATGGATTTAAACTTCCTTCAGAGAGAAGCACTAAGTGATAAAGTTTTAAGGTAATTATGTGCCAAAATGTCAGACATAATGTGCTGAAATATTCTGGGTGGATACTTTGCTAGCTGAGTTCCCTAACAGAATTTTCCCTAAAACCCCCAAAATATAATCAAAATAATTTAAAACTCCAGATGCCACTGGTGACACAAGCTCTTATTATAACCCTAAATACTGAGTACACTGTAAATTTGACTCAGCTTGTACTCTACATCAGAAACCAAGGCTGTTGGGTTTAACAAAGCTCAAAAAGACTAACATAAAAAGCAGAGCAACACAAACAGTATGAGCAAAAAAAAACTAAGTTAATGGGCTCACAGAACAGAAAAAAAAAAATAAAATTAAACAATCCCTAGGTGAGAATGAAGAAGAACAGATGAGTTTGCTGATAATAGCTGGAGCATGATAGCTACAGAAGACGTTGAGACCTTCAGCTAGAAAAGAGCATATCAGGTAGCAGAGCCCTGCAGCAAGCATGCATATACTACAGAAAGTGAAAAATGCTCATGTGTTAGAACTAAGAAAATTTTCCATATGTGTCTTACAGGAGGCACCAGATCAAACAAACAAACAAGCCTATGTTTTGAATTCAAGGATCTCAATGTTACTTTCATTATTTAAAGCAAATAATCCTGGCAGTTTTTCTCCTTTTATTCTATTTGGACCATACCAGTGGTCCAAACTGTGAATACTTGTCAGTAACCAGCTACACTTCAAAACAGTACCAGTCTAAAACATCAAACCTCAGGTAAAATTGTGTATAACATTGTTATAAAATGTAACACATAAAAAATAAAAACCAGTGTAAATTCTATATAAAACCAAACTAAAGAAAATAAGGAACAGAAGAAAGAACAATTAATCTGAAATATCTTCGTTTCATTTTTAATACAGATAGATAATTAAGACAATAATCCTAGAATATTAACAATATTAACTAATCATTTTTCTTCCATTATTTACCACTCACATGTTGCTGAATGTAGCTGCTATATTTAATGCAGTAACAGATGCATTTCATCTGCATTTAGTTAAATTCAAATGCTACAATATTATTAATATCTTTGCCCTACATAAATAAACATATCATAATTCTAATTATATCTGACTTGGTACATTTTTGTACAACCACAACATTTAAAAGTGTCTAAAGCAGCAGTCTGACCATCTGCTGATTTGCAGATTTATATTTCAGCAGTGAAGAGCCTGTGGGACAGGGAAAGTCAGAAACTAAGATTCTTAATATTTAAAGATTTTTTTTACCCATGATGTCTGATCTCAGATTTTATCTATTCTCAATCTACTGTGATATAATTGCTTTGGGAAAATGGCAACCTGAATTGACTAAACTAACTGTTCTTTAACTCACTTATCACGTGATGCTTCTGGGGGGTTCTTTTGTTTGTTTCCTTGCCTGTTTATTGTGAGGGGTTTTTTTGGGGATTTTGTTTGTTCAGTTGGGGTTTTTTTGCTTGTTGTTTTTTGTTTTGTTTTGTTTTTCTAAATAAGCCAATATGAAGACCTGACAAGTTAGTCACTTCATTAATTCTTAATCTGTCCAATCACAAACATTTAGAAGTGTAAAATTAGCTAGAACCTTTTCCTGCATAGAAGCAAACTTTTTCACTTATCTATTTTATTAACTAGATTTTCAAGCACTAAAAAATTAGATCTAAATCATATAATCATCATCCGTATTCAAGACTGACAGAGGGAAACTGGGACTCTATCTTTTACTTGCTCACTCTGGTGCTTTGCCATGCATAGTCTCCATGAGCAGGACAATTCAGGGGTGTATAGTCTATAGCTTACACCAAAGACAGACTGTATCTGAGACTAGAAAGAAGTGCTTTTTGAAAAGTCCTCACCACTTCCCTGAGGAGGGAATTTTAACCCAACCCTTGTTTTGTTTTGTTTTGTTTTGTTTTGTTGTGGTTTGGTTTGGTTTAGTTTGTCGTAGAGTGCACCCGACTTGCTTTGTGTGTGAAGAAGCAGTTCCTTCCATCAAAGGTGTGCAGGATAAAACTGTCTTCAGCTGACATACAAAGGTGGCATTCAAAGGAGTGATGAACAGGGCAAACAGACCACTCTTGATCCTGGCATTGATCATCAGGCACAACATCTTTCAGCAGTTTTAAATAACATATACTGGAACTGCAGTACAAGAATACCTACGAATGCAGCCAGATCCCTAACAGTGTTTTTCACTTAAGACAGCAGTCATAAGTCTTTGTATTCCTCTATACTCCTTTATTTCTCCTTCACTTTCAAGGGATGTAATACTTGTAGTACATGGCGTGACATGACTCTAGATTTTTGCAGGGTATATTAAACATGATGACTAATCAGGAAGTTGACTGGCAGTGGAGCAGATACGTTCTTTCAGTGTATATCATGACACTAAATCCCATTTTTAACCTTTCAGTGGCATTGCTAGAAAAATTGCAAGCTTTGCAATAATAGACATCAATTGTATTGAGTTAGGTTATAACATTACGCTGTTTACCAGGGTAAACAAAGTGGACAGCAAACAGGAAGCAAAAAAACCTCTTTTATGATTCCTCTAATTATAGAAGCTGAATTGGGAAAGTAACTGTATGTCCAACTCCTCCTAAACTAGACAATGAACACAAAGTCTGAGAAATATCTTTTCTTCACAGCATTTT